AATACACGTAGGACACTTAAACAAGAACATCAGTGACTTCCTATGTTTGTACAAAAAACTATGCTGCTCTCTTGACACATCGACCCATTTTATGTGGAAAAACATTCAACAAATACCACAGCCGACACTGTTCTGGTTGCCCTTAACAACAACTGCACAGATAGGGCATGTATACGTTCTTGTCTCAGCGGGCATGCAATGCAAAGCACATACAGCAATTCCACCAGATCACTTATATTGTTTACAAACAAAAGCACACAAACATAGGAACCAAAAACGCCAACCAATTTGTAAGTCTCAGTACAAGAACAGCCTTCGATGCAACAGCAATGCGCGGCAATTTTTTTTATTCTTTATTCTTCTTCTTCCTGCTCGCGAATTTATCTTAACAGATATGGATCCAAAATAGACTACTCCAACAACGTCCGATGGCCAAGCTTTATTTTCAGCAACAAAACAAGATAAATAGGACTGCTTACATAAATTATTTATTTGATTTTATAATTTTCCAGGATCCAGAAAAATTAATGACACATCGCTGTAGGGCTCTATAGGAGAGCCATACTTTGTAAAATATTTATCTTTTTGCACATATATTCATTGATTTCGGTACCACAAAATAACAGGTAAATTATTTGCATAATAACCCATTACAACGCAACCACTAAAATACCCTTTTTCGTGGAAAATTAAGAATTTCAATTTTCAATGATTAAATACAAATTGTTATCACCTCAGATTTGGTCCTTTGTTATTCTTTCTACCTATTCTCATATTTTTCTACTTTCATTAAACAACATTAAAAACTCGAATGTCAGGACACAAGTCGGACATAAAATTAAGAAATACCAACATAATACAAAAAACAGCACTGTCCGAACATTGTAAAATACACAATCATACCCCTAACATTGTCGATGTAAAAATACTGCAAACGGAGAATCATTACAACAAGAGACTAACACTAGAGATGCTCCACATAAACAGTCTCCCAACAACAAGAATAAACAGCAAAACAGACATCGACAACACAGCCAACTGCTACAGGCAACTCACACGGGGTAGAGATCGTGCAATAAATAAATACTAATCAGTGCAATAATGTAACTTGACGGAGTAGAAACGCTACGCTAGCTTTAAGTTTATTATAAAAATTCATTTTAGTATTTATAAACTTGTAAGCGATCTTTGTTCTGTGTTAATATACCTGTTAGTATTAGAAAAAACTGTGATATAGTTAATAAGTCGTACTTTGTTTATTTTTTTATTGTAGGACTATTTCCCTGAAGATGAAATTCATTGAATTTCGAAATATTGGAATATTAAAATAAATACAACAACAAAGACCTCAAGCTCGAACAACACTTGTTTCGTTAAAATATAAAAAGGTCGAATAAAAAGAAAAACATTAATTTTTCTACTTTCTTCAATTTCGCAACCCATCTAAACATACATGACAAATAATATAAATTCTGCTTTTATTTTTATAATATTGAATTATACTAGTAATTTTTGCATTGTCAAAAAACATCAAACATCTAATTTTTCTCACAAATCGTAAACAACACATATGTCGTACACTACAGGTACATTATTTTTTTTAGTGTTCCGCCATGTGGTACACTATGATTTCGTAGTGCTCTGACTGCGGAAAACTACGATTTCGTAGTGCTCTGACTGCGGTACACTACGTTTTTAGTGCTCCGACTGCGGTACAGTACGATTCTTGTTGTGCTCCGGTACAGTATCACTAAAATATTTTTTAAGGGTTGTGCTCCGGTACGGTACATTATCTTAGTGTACCACTCCAACTCGGAATGGTACAGAACACTATGGTTCGGTACCATACTGTTTGTTTTCGAACGCTGCCTTCACCATACTATGGAGGGTATATTAATTTGTCATTCCGTTTGTAACTCATTGAAATAATGATCTTACACCCAACAAAGTATATATATTCTTGATCAGCGTAAATTTCTAAGACGATTTAGCCATGTCCGTCTGTCTGTTATAATCATGCTATCTTTCGAACGAATTGAGATAGAAGGCTAAAATTTTGCACACATCTATATTTTGCCAGTAGGCAGGTTAAGTTCGTAAATGGGCCATGTAGGTCCAAGTTATAATATAGCCCCCATATAACGGTACCTCCCGATATTCGGTATTTGGATGATTTTAGCGACATTATTCACCGGCATTGTTTCAAATTTGGCATTTGAAGTTCGAAATGGATACTACAGCCCATGGTACAATGATATCAAGGTAGGGCTATGATACCATATGATTTTAATTTTTTTATTTTCTTGGCTTAATATGTCATCTTTATTTGTTTATGTATGTGTTTTCTTTTCAATAACAAAAAAATTGTTCAGAAAATATTTAAATTCGGGTGTTTTCAAAATGTTTATTTCTACGTATGCATCGACAAAATCTAGAGTTTTTGTAGCGAAATAATCCTTTAGAGTTATATAGTACATGCTTTTGAAAAGAAGTGTTGACCTTTCATTCAGTTATCGCGTTTTTTCAAAATTCAAAATAAATGCAACAAGTTGTTTGATTTTTTTATTGTTTTGATACTAATTCTGACATTACAAGCCAAACAGGTAGACCTCTATACATGCAATTTTTTCAAAGTTGGCCTGCCTTCTCTTCATTGTACCATGCTACAGCCTAAGACAGAAAATTGTCTGTGCAGGTCCACGTCTTCGTATAGCCCCCATATAACGGTGCCTCCCGATATTCGGTATTTTGATGATTTTAGCGACATTATTCACCGGAATTGTGTAAAATTTGTTATTTGAAGTTCGCAATGAATACTGAGTCCTAAGACAGAAAATTGTTTATGCAGGTCCACGTCTTCGTACAGCCTCCATATAACGGTATCTCCCAATAATCGGTATTTTGATGACTGTACAGCTACATTATTCACCGATTTTTTTTCTAAGTTTCGCATTTAAATATTGTAATGGCTTATGAAAAAAAAATCTTATGCAGGTCCATATCGTCTTATTGACCCTAATATAACGGCTACATTCGGTATTTCTAAGATTTTAACGCATTTTATTGTTTTTGAGAATTGTCAAATTCGATCCAAATGGTGGAGGGTATTCAAAGTCCGGCCCGGCCGATTTTATAATATTCCAGGACCAAAAAAAATTAATGACACATCGCTGTAGGGCTCTATAGGATATATAGGAGATTTTAAACACTCAGCCATACTTTGTAAAATATTTATCTTTTTACACATACACTCATTAATTTTTCGATACCACAAAATAACAAGTAAATTATTTGCATAATAATCCATTACAACGCAACCACTAAAATACCCTTTTTCGTGGAAAATTAAGAATTTCAATTTTCAATGATTAAATACAAATTATTATCACCTCAGATTTGGTCCTTTTTTATTCTTTCTACCTATTCTCATATTTTTCTACTTTCTTCAATTTCGCAACCAATCTAAACATACATAACAAATAATTTAAATTCAGCTTTTATTTTCATAATATTGAATTTTACTAGTCATTTTTGCATTATCAAAAACATGAAAAATGTAATTTTTCTCACAAATCGTAAACAATACATGTGATACACTACGAATTTGTAGTGCTCCGGCTGCGGAACACTACGTATCACTAAAATATTTTTTAAGGGTTGTGCTCCGGTACGGTACATTATCTTAGTGTACCACTCCACCTCGGAACGGTACAGAACACTACGGTACATGAAATTAGAATTAATAATAATAATAGAAGAAATAATTGTTTTTCCTCCAAAGTTTTATTTTATCTTTCATTTAACAATTTTCATTCATGAATGATTGAAGACTGTCTTAATGGGCTTTTAGGACTGTCATTTCATATTTTAAACATTTTGTATACATTTTGACATTTTACATATATTTGTCTGTTTTTAAATTCGGTTGAAGAATCACTTGTCAAAAATTGTTTGTCGATACAAAAATTGTTAAAATATTGTCTCTTTTGTTCCCAGTTTTCTGTCAAAATTCCAACTTGTGGACAAAAAGCTTACCTCGGATGAGAGAAAAAAAAAACAAATTTACTTTCGTTTGAATGCACATACGCCATTCAACATTGTATCTTTTATTCATAATTTTCAGTATTACTGAAAAATTTCATAAAATTTTTCTATTTTGCATTTTTAAATGTCATAATTTATTTTTTTGATAAATTTTCTCTTTTGTTAGCCACGGTTGGTGTTCATTAAATATGCAATTTCGGCTGAAATATCTCCAATTATTTGTCAGAAAGGATGTAATTTAGGGATAAGCATAAAATTCTAAGTCAATTTAATGATATCTCTCTGTTTGTTGAAATTAGGATGCAGCCAATTTTAGAGCTATGAAATTTGATATAGGGCTTGACATTTTAAATAATAATTTGTATTGTATATATGATGATTGGTATTGAAAATTAGGTATATCGGTCCAATTAGGTATATCGGTCCTATGGAAAACATGCGTTAATTAATTGTTATCACGATGAACCTGGATAAAGATTTTGTGTGCAAATGTAATTCGGTAATTTATTCATACCAACCCTAAAGAATGTTACCCATTTTGGTAGAATTCTACCCACTGCGCAACCGTGGATGGCTTACATTTCATCGTAGTTCTGAGAGTGATTTGAATGGAACAAAGAACAAAAATCTTTGTTCTGATATTTTTTGTGAGGAATGAAGTAGATATTTCATAATTAATGGTCGAACAACGAATAGAGAGCGAATCACTTGCGATGTGAACTTAGCATTACTTCACTCAATAGTTGTGTTCCAGTACTTTTTAGTAGTAAAACTAGCAGAAAAGAGAACAGTACAAAATGCCACACTCATTTAGGTGTGCTCAAAAAATAAGGGAACGGAAAATGTCAACATTCAAAATTCCAAAAGAAAATAGTCTAAATCGGACTGGTGGAACCTTACAGAAATGGACGCCAAAATTAAAAAAATGAGTATTGAAAAAAAGTTAAAATTAATAATTATTTTTGAATGCTGTTTATTTAGAAAGTTTTGTTTTCAGAATGCGTTGAAGAGTATTTAGAGGTGGAGTTTTCTCAAATCCCAACCCCGGAGAAGGTGACATGGTTGGAGGCGCCGATTAAATTATTGTTAAATCTGCTAGAAGACTTGATGCCACAAGTTGGGAAGACAGCCAAGCCCTATATCAAATTTCATAGCTCTAAAAGAAAATGTTCGGAGTCAAAAGCGAACATCTTTCATTTTAAGCTTAATTTTTCAATTTACCTTTCATTACTTTTGCACTGTTTTCCAATACGTTTTCTTCGTCTGATTCCTCATTCAGCAAGTCCTCTTCACTCCTGGAATCATCGAAAAGTGAATACATCAATTGCTCCATATTTTCTCTTTTTGTTTTTGCACGACAGATATTAGTTTTCGTTACGCGCGAACCTTGAAATGTATCAATACGTTTTTCAACCTTGTTAGCCCTGCCAATTAAATGTCAAATTTACAATTTGCACATTTCTGCTCGTCCAAATTCATGTAGCTAAAACAAAATGTGCACCACTCAGCGCCATTTTTTCTCGAAAGAGCTGCAAGTTTCAAGTTTTGCTAGTTTTTGGAGTACGGGAACGCAGTGTTGCCAACATTTGGAAAGCTAGAAGCGTAATTAAAAACCAGAAAAGCGTAGATGGCGTAAAAACTTTCCTTAAAACTTAAAACTTTTTCTAACCAAAATGGCAAAATTGTCAATAAAACACTTTTTAAACTATCCTATACATAAGAGCATACATATTTTTAAAAAATATGATATATTAGGAACATTTTACATGTGGTTACAGACAGATACATTTTTACAAACAATTATGTTCACCCATAAAACCCATAGCTTCAAACGCAGTTGAAGTTCTGTAAACTCGTATAACAAAGCAGGCATGTATGAACTTACGTTTTTTATACCCTCCACCAAAAAAGGTATGGAGGGTATATTAAGTTCGTCATTCCGTTTGTAACTCATCGAAATAATCATTTTAGACCCAACAAAGTATATATATTCTTGATCAGCGTAAAATTCTAAGACGATTTAGCCTTGTCCGTCTGTCTGTCCGTCTGTTGTAATCACGCTACAGTCTAAACGAATTAAGATAGGAAGCTAAAATTTTGCACAGATCTCTCTTTTGTCTGCAGACAGGTCAAGTTCGAAGATATCGGTCCACGATATCGTATAGCCCCCATGTAACGGTACCCCGATATTCGGTATTTTGATGATTTTACCCACATTTTTCAACGGAATTGTCTGAAAATCCACACAAGGAGTTCCTTGTGGGTACTTTATACCTCGGCAGAGAATTATCTATATAGGTCCACGATATCGTATAGCACCCATGTAACGGTACCCCCCGATATTCGGTATTTTGATGATTTTACCCACATTTTTGAACAGAATTGTCTGAAAATCCACAAAAGGAGTTCCTTGTGGGTACTTTATACCTCGGCAGAGAATTATTTATATAGGTCTACAATATCGTATAGCCCCCATATAACGGTACCCCCCGATGTTCGGTATTTTACCCACATTTTTGAACGGAATTGTCTGAAAATCCACACAAGGAGTTCCTTGTGGGTACTTTATACCTCGGCAGAGAATTATCTATATAGGTCCACAATATCGTATAGCCCCCATATAACGGCACACCTCCATATTAGGTATTTTGATGATTTTACCCACATTTTTCGGTATTTTGATGATTTTACCCACATTTTTCAACGGAATTGTCTGAAAATCCACACAAGGAGTTCCTTGTGGGTACTTTATACCTCGGCAGAAAATTATTAATATAGGTCCACAATATCGTACAGCCCCCATATAACGGTACCCCCCGATATTCGGTATTTTGATGATTTTACCCACATTTTCAACGGAATTGTCTGAAAATCCACACAAGGAGTTCCTTGTTCCTCGGCAGAGAATTATCTATATAGATCCACGATATTGTATAGCCCTCATATAACGGTACCCCCGATATTCGGTATTTTGATGTTTTTAGCCATATTTTTCAACGGAATGGTCACAATGGGTTCCTTGTGAGCACTTTACCCACCGACTGAGAATTCTCTATATAGGTTAACGATAACGTATAGCTCCCATATAACGGTACCCCCCGATGTTCGGTATTTTGATGATTTTACCCACATTTTTGAACGGAATTGTCTGAAAATCCACACAAGGAGTTCCTTGTGGGTACTTTATACCTCGGCAGAGAATTATCTATATAGGTCCACAATATCGTATAGCCCCCATATAACGGCACACCTCCATATTAGGTATTTTGATGATTTTACCCACATTTTTCGGTATTTTGATGATTTTACCCACATTTTTCAACGGAATTGTCTGAAAATCCACACAAGGAGTTCCTTGTGGGTACTTTATACCTCGGCAGAGAATTATCTATATAGGTCCACAATATCGTATAGCCCCCATATAACGGCACGCCCCCATATTATGTATTTTGATGATTTTACCCACATTTTTCGGTATTTTGATGATTTTACCCACATTTTTCAACGGAATTGTCTGAAAATCCACACAAAGAGTTCCTTGTGGGTACTTTATACCTCGGCAGAGAATTATCTATATAAGTCCACAATATCGTATAGCCCCCATATAACGGTACCCCCCCATATTCGGTATTTTGATGATTTTACCCACATTTTCAACGGAATTGTCTGAAAATCCACACAAGGAGTTCCTTGTTCCTCGGCAGAGAATTATCTATATAGATCCACGATATTGTATAGCCCTCATATAACGGTACCCCCGATATTCGGTATTTTGATGTTTTTAGCCATATTTTTCAACGGAATGGTCACAAGGGGTTCTTTGTACACAAGGGGTTCCTTGTGAGCACTTTACCCACCGACTGAGAATTCTCTATATAGGTTAACGATAACGTATAGCTCCCATATAACGGTACCCCGCGATATTCGGTATTTTGATGATTTTAGCCACATTTTCCAATCGTATTGTCTGAAAATCCACACACGGAGTTCCTTGTGAGTACTTTACACGCAGACATAGATTTGTCTTTATAGGTCCAGAATATCGTATATCCCCCCATATATCGGCACCTTCCTATATTAGATATTTTAAAGATTTTAAAAGAATTTTTATTGGATTTTATTTTTTTGAAAATTTTCTAATTCGTTCCAAATGGTGGAGGGTATTCAAAGTTCGGCCCGTTTCGTTTATTTTACTTTTCCTTCAATGATTTATAATACACAAAATTCTTAGTTTTATTTTGGTTTATTAAAAAAGAGTTACATGTAAACAAACAAACTTCAATGGCAGGAATGAAAGACACGTAAAGAATTTGCAGTAAAGAACTTGCAATAAGTAGATGCCATACAATCAAAATATTCGAATGTATAAACGTTGCCACATTTTAAAATGTAAAACACGCTATAAGCACCAACAGAAAAATATGAAAAGCGTACGTACAGTGTTATTTTTTCGCACTAAGTTGGCATCGCTGCGGGAACGCGTTGTAGCAGAATTAGCACTAATTAGTACTTGCAGTAAAAATGCATAGTACAATTAAATCAAGGTAAACTCATTTCAAATTATAATGCCCATCTCCACACTGAATAGAAAATAGGATCCCCTCTCTGATTTATCTAAAAATTGGTATTTGTGAGTCATAATGGGTCCTAGTTCGTGTGGCGAAACATTGTATGTATAGGACCACGTTTTGGTATAGTCCCCATATAACGGTACCTCCCAATATTCGGTATTTTGATGATTTTTGACACATTTTTTACGAATATCTCTGAAAATTTGGTAGTTGTAGATCATAATGGGTCCCAGTTCGTATGGCGAGTCATTGTAGTTATAGGTCCACGGTTTGGTATAGCCCCCATATAACGGTACCTCCCGATATTCGGTAATTTGATGATTTTTGCCACATTTTTTCACGTATTTGTCTGAAAATTGGTATTTGTAGGTCATAATGGGTTCTAGCTTCGTTGGCGAAACCTTGCATGTAGGTCCATGATTTGGTATATCCCCCATATAACGGTATCCTCCGATATTCGGTATTGTGATGGTTTTTGCCACATTTCTTCTAATGTTTCCTTTACCCTAAGGTGGAGGGTATTAAAAGTTTGGTCCGGCCGAACTTAATGTTCTTTTACTTGTTTTTCATTCAAAATATTCAATTCGAAACTTGGTTTGACTATTCATTGTCCCAGCAGCTGTTTCGATGCGTCTACCTATATTCTTCTACCATGGTTGATGTATTCACGAATAAGGAACTTGCCATGCGTTTACACATGGTAAATGAGTTGTATATCACTTTTTACCCTCCACCTTTAAAAAGGAGGGTAGGTTAGGTTAAAGGACGCGCGGTTATCGTTTGGTAACAGGTCCACGCGGAGACCTACTGTTCCATTGTGTTCATCCTAGAAATAATAATAAAAGAAAGGAATGGGTAATGGAAGAGAGTGAAGATAGAATTATACAGTATGATCTACGGCTAAAGAATTTGCCGTGTTGTCTTTAGCCACTTGAATTTTCTGGCTAATTGAAGAATTACTGTAGGGTCAGTTTTAGAAAAAGAAGACAGATCATGTGACACTAGTTCCCCGACCAACCTGTCTCCCATGTTAATGAGTGCTGGGCAGTGGCAGAGCAAGTGTTCGACTGTCTCAATTTTTTCTTCATCTTGACAGATCCTACAGTAGTCAATGTCATCGCTATCCCATTTCGAGGTCATTGCCCTCACCTTACAGTGACCTGTGATGATACCCACCACAAGTTTTAAATCAGGTTTCGACAATGACAGTAGCGACTTTGTTCTCTTCTCCGAGAGTATGGGCCAGATTATTTTGGAGATGGTACAACCCATTTCGTCCAGCCATCTTTGTTGGATTCTCTCAGAGTAGTGTCTGTGAATAACCTGTAGGAAGTGGCACAGTGGTGGTTTAACCGAGTTATTTAGTTCAATTGTAGTTGATTCGGATCCTAGCCTGGCCAATTCGTCTGCAGTCTCCTTGCCTGGAATATTATAATGACCTGGAACCCAACAGAGCTAGATGGACAACCCAGTGTTTTCCAAGGCTCTTCTGCAGTTCAAAACAACCCTACACTTAAAGGTATAGGAATTTAAGGCCTTCAGTGCAGCCTAACTATCGACGTATATATCCACCGGACCGCTAATCTCAGTATTCCTCGTGACCAGCAAGTCTGTGGATTTTTTGACCGCAGAGATTTCCGCCTGGAATACGCTACAATCGTTTCCAAGCTTGTAGGATTCACGAACTTTAAGGGTATCACAGAAGACACCAGTTCCCGTTCCACATTCCATCTTCGAACCATTGGTATAAACAGCTATGCCGTGGAAAGGTGGGTTGTTATGGGTTCAGGTTCAGTATGAATAGAGTGCCATCGAGGCTCGGTTACTCGGTGTTCCTCTTCCAACTTAACTGGATGTCGAGGATAGCGCCAAGGTATTTGGCCTCTGATGTGAGGTTTAAAGTGACTCCATCTAGCATCGGTGGTATAAACGAAGGATAATTACGTTTCTTTGTAAAGAGGACGAGCTCTGTCTTTGATGGGTTCACACCTAGTCTATTGCGACGCGCCCACCTTGATAGGGTGACTAGAGCTCCCTGCATCAGATCAGAGATTGTTTGCAGGAATTTCCTAGCAATCAATGGGATGACATTATCAGCGTATGCGACTACCTTTGTACCTTTTTCTCTAGATCTATGAGTGATAGGACACCACCTTGCGGCGTGCCCCTAGTGACCGATTTCCTGACGGATGTTTCCCCTAATGATAATTCTGATACTAAGCATCGTGTCAATCAAATCTATGAGGAGTACCTATGAGGAGGAGGAGGTACCCTAAGTTTAAAAAGTGAATCAT